CCATTGAGCACTACAAGGCATGACTAGTAGCAAAGGGGTACACTCAGGTTGAAGGTATTGACTATCATGACACTTTTTCTCTCGTGGCTAACCTTGTGACGGTTCATTGTCTTCTTGCTGTTGCTGTCACGAAGGGCTGGTTCATCCGTAAACTGGATGTTAATAACGCCTTTCTTCATGGTGATTTGGACGAATAGGTATACATGAAAATCATGCAGGGGTTTGCTCAACCTAGTGATTTTCGTGTCTGTCAACTTCATAAATCTATTTATGGTCTCATACAGGCTTCCAGGAACTGGTATCACAAGTTCTCAGTTGCGGTCCTCGAACTGCGTTTTCGTCAGAGTCATGCAGATCACTCCCTTTTCATCTATCGCACGATTAGTTCTTTCGTCGTGGCCCTCATCTATGTCGACAACTTCATACTTGTTGAGGATGATCTGGTCTTTATTCAGTCCGTCAAGAAGTTCCTTCATGAAAGTTTCATCATCAAAGACCTTGGTCCTTTGAAATATTTTCTTGGGATTGAGGTATCCCACTCCAGCAACGGTATCATCCTCAATCAGCGCTAATATGTGTTAGACATTCTCGCTGACATTGGCTTTCAGGCCACGGTCCCTTTTTCTTTGCTTATTGAACATAATCATCAATTAGGCAGTCTCGACTCCTCTCCTGCTCCTGATCCATCTGCTTTCCGGCGGTTGGTTGGTCGACTTCTTTATCTCACAGTCACTTGCCCAGACATCACCTATGTCGTTAACCTACTTAGTCAGGCAGTCATGCTCCTACCCAGGCCCATCTTGATGCTGCTCATGAAATACTCAGATACTTGAAGGGGTATCCGGGACGTGGTCATCTTTTCCGACTCATGGCCCTCTCACTTTGACTGCTTACTGTGATGCTGACTGGGGTGCTTGTCATATCACCCGGCGTTCTACCACAGAGTATTTCATTCATCTTGGATCTTCACCTGTCTCTTGGCGCACTAAGAAACAGTATGTTATCTCTCGTTCTTCTGCTGAGGCTGAATATTGTGCCATGGCCAGTACTGTCTGTGAGGTTTTGTGGCTTCGATGGCTTTTGCAAGATCTTGGGGTACCTCAATGTGGTCCCACACCTCTCTACTGTGACAATCAAGCAACCCTTCACATTGTCGCCAATCTGGTGTTTCACGAGCGTACTAAGTGACTCGCTAAAACACAACTCCTTATAATGGAAAAGTGTAACCAATGAAAGGGACTGCATTATAGTGAAACAAGTAATAAATATCGAATCCACGGGTCTCTAGAGTTACTATTACTCAACTTCAGTTCATTATTTTTCTCGATTTGTGCATATTGTTTAACTAATGGGTCGTTTGCTTTATGAATTTAAAAATGAGGGTTTTGTAATTTTAAACCCCAAGGATTTATCAAGAATTTGAGGCATTATGGATTTATAACAATCCTATGTTTGTTGAGATGTTTTACCATGGATTTAAGGGTTTGAGATTTAGAACTTACGGGTCATTTGCTTTATGGAATTGAAAAATGAAGGTTTTGATAAAATTTGGGTTTTGTAAAACCATGGATATATGAGGCTTTTAGGACCAATGTGGACTTGTAAAATACCATTGTTTGTTTCATTGGTTTCATGACGAAGTTGGTTAATTATATTTGTGTGCATAAAGTGAAAATGACTTGGGGTCGTTTGGAACATTTGATTCTGGAAATAATGTATTACGAGAATGTGTGTATTAAAGATTCTGTGTATACTAAGAATGTGTGATTTTGAAAATTCATTATTTGAACCCATAAAAGAATGCATGGATTATAGTTTAAATAAGCTATGGATACTCAGATCTCACCAAAAAGGTAAGATTATGAATACATCATTTTCTATATATCAGGAAAAAAAACATGGATTATGAATACATGCATTTTGTTATTACATCAAGTCAAAAAACATTGTATTCTCAGGATACATGTATTCTGAGAAAACAACATCTTGAATCGAAGGTTCCAAATGAGCCCTTATAGTGCCCTCATTGGTATGAGATGAGAAAGATAATAGGAGAGGTAGTTTGGTCATAAATGATGGATTTTGAAGTCCATGATCAAATCCCACCTAAAGAGGTGGAATTTTCAAGTCCGTGGGACCCACGAATTTGGACCCTTAAAGTCCATAAGGCCCATGGATTTGTTGCCACAAAAGAGTTTGGACAAAGTCCATGATAAATCCAAATCCATCAAGCAAAATTTCAAAATTACCATACCATCATTTTTTATTTTTTGTCATGTTTATGATATGTACACAAAACAAGGACAATAAGAACTAATAAGCATAATGTTGCCACAAAGGACAATAATAATAAACGGGATAATTCCGATTAATATTTAACGTAACATATATCGATTACCAATTTTTTGTCCTTATTTTCAAAAGTAACATATAGCAACATATATTAGAACTGCGGAATAGAGAATTACATGTTCCATGAAAAATGTCAAAGGAAACTAGAACAGAAGAAAAGGTATAAAAAATCTAATTTTTTGCACATTAATTGAATATTTATATTATTTATTTGTTGTTAATTAATTGATTATTTATAATATATAATAGGTAAATATGAGGGAAATTTTAGAATTTTAAAAGTTCATGAGTGTACATGGGTAAAATTCCATCATGGATTTATGACATGTTACAAATCTCATATCAATATGTGAGATTTACAAGTCCGTGAAGTTTACGGATTTATACCCTTAAAATTCGTGGGCCCCACAGATTTGATCTCTAAAAGAAATGCAAGCAAACGATGAATTTTTCTTAAATCCACGATGGAATAGATTTGAGTACCAAATCCATCATCCAAATCCACGAAACAAACGACCCATAAATGTTTCATTGAGGTTTGTTGAATATTTTGCACATATATTGTGTATGCTTCAGTATTTGATCATACACACACGAAAGAGATGCACAAGTACGATGGTGCTTCTCTTCTCATTCCTGCTTTGATTGTGTTTTCCTGCGAGGAAAATCTTGTGTTTGAACTCAATTAATGCACCTTAACTTCTTGAACAACAATTCTAAACACGGTTCACACCTCTCCGAACAATGTTTGAACGAGGGTGTTCTGATGGTTTTTTGGGAACAAACTACATTAATTACACCTACTCCTATGGAGGTTCAGTGAGAGCTCCGAAAACTAAGGCTATGGCTAATTTGTAGAGAAAAGATAAAAGTTTGACATTGTGTGTCAAATGGTTGGTTGTGAACCCTTGCTTCTTCATCGTTTCTCCTACTTATAGCCACTATGTGTAACTGCCTTGGTAAACGCCCTGGTAACTGCTAGCCGGCCTGTTGCTCCAACCACCTTAGGGACTCCTTGTCGTCACCTTGGTGGCCCATTGGTAACCGTTGTCTTGGTCTTCACCCCCATTGCATTGGGATCCTTACCCCGTCCTGTTGACTGGTTGGTATTGTCATTTAGGTGGCTTGGCATCAGGCTTGATGAGTTGAGGTTCATCTTGTCGCCTCGTCTTGGCTAGAAGGGGTTGGGGCCACCTTGTCTTGCCTCCATCACATTGGCTCTCTCATCGAGCCTCCTTGAAGATCCTGGCACCTTGATGATTTCATACTTAGTTCCTTTAATGGCGCCTTACTACCCATCTTTGTCTTGTTAGCTATGCCTTGTTACCCACCTAGACATGATGAAAGCTTGGCCTCTTCCCCCACTAAGTCTCCACTTGTCGGCTTGATACCCTTTCTACCAAGCCAACCCTGTCGTCTTTGTCTACAGACTTAGCTTCTGGAATCTTATCAAGTTGGTACCTTGCACCCTGCCGGCTTGGTACCCCGTTAGGGGGCCACCAATCCCATCTTGGGACTTAGTCTCTATCTAGCCCCCTAAGGGGCTCTAAATCATGTCCATAATGACTTGGTACCCTCTAGGGGTCTTGGTACCGAGGCTGCCTTGCCGGCCTAGTACCCTCTTAGCTCCATACTTAGCCAAATTCATGTTTTTCATGTCTTGGTACCAAGCGCTGCCTTGCCGGCTTGGTACCCTCTTGGTACTTTTGCTTGGTAATTAACCAATCTTGCCATGCTTGGTACTCTCAGCCTACCAAACCTCTTTCGTCTTGGTACCCTATCGTTTGGCCCCCTATTGCCATGGGATTTCATACTTAGCCAAATTTCATGCTTGGGTACCAGGGTTGTCTTGCCGGCTTGGTACCCTCTTGCTATTGGTGGTATGGCATCGTGCCGTATGGCCCCCTGACCATGAGATTCCATACTTATCCAAATTTCATACTTGGGTACACTACAACAAATTTGGTCTATTATGACACAAGGATTTTGTCATATTACATCAACAATTTGTCATTTTAACTATAGTATGACAAACCATGTGCGTCACAACGTTTGTCGTAATATCGCCGTCGCCGTAGCTTAAATGTGACAAAATTTTGCATTGTTTGTCATAAAATGGTTAACGATAATCTGACAAACAAATTTTATCAGAGAAAACATACTATTATGATAAACTTGTTTGTCATAGTAAAATGGCAACTTTGTCACTAGTTAAAGGTGTTTGTCACAATATGCCAAGTTCTACGTATCTTATTGTGACAAATTCAACATTGTATGACAACTACATTTTGTCATAATATAATATCGTCATAATTAATATTTTTGTGTAATTTACTTCTGACAAATATATTTTTTCATAGTTGTTGAATTATGACGATACTATTTTGTCATTAAAAGTGTATGGTAATGTGTGACTACTGATAATTTTGTCATAAAATTCATAATCAATGACGAATTCTATTTGTCAGAAGTTCTTTTGACAAACTAATTTTGTCATATATTTCATAGATTTGAAATTGTGACAACTTGTCTCTATCATTTCTTTTTCATTTTAAGACAAATGGTTTGTCAAAATACATCCTGAATGGCAAAACAAAATCATAATAATTTATGGGTCTGTTCAAATATGACAAAAAATTCAAAACATTAGCTAATATAATAATCCTACAATCCAAATCCAAGCATTGGACTGGGAACCATCATCATTCCAACATAGTCTTCTAACGTGATCCAAACACAAAAAGAACTTCGAAACGATTTAGTGTTTGTGCTCAAAGAATGCCATCCTTGGTTGGCATCTAATTCTTGCTCCTAATATTCTTCATCATCTGTAACAAAATAATGAAAAGATAGATAGTTGGTCAATCACGTACTCACATCCAGTACTTGTAAGAACAATGGACTTGGAATATAGTTACCTTAGATTGAATCAATCCATGTTCATTTCTAACTTAGAGTTGCAGCAACGGAAGAGATAATGCAACTACTTAAGTTAGTTAACAACCATCAACGAAAGTTAAAAAAGGCTGTCAAGTTAAGCAAGCTACCAATGTTAACCTAAAATCAGTTTACATATATTGTTCATAATGGCATAAATTAAGAAGTACCTTGCTTAGGACTCCATTACTATAGATGCCACAGCTCCGAGAAGCGGCTGATTGAAAAACAAAATATAAACAAATTCAGGGGAAACCAAAAGAAGATTCAGTCTAGGAAACCAAAAGAAGATGCAACATGTGATACCTTATTCACAGAGGGGTCCAAATGGAACTTGAAAACAACACAACAAGCTTTGCTTGAAGGTCCACCGCTACTAAAACAAGACTATTATACTGCATATCTACAAAAGGACATGACAGAGTCAAAAACTCAATTCTTGCACGTAAAAGCCTATACACAATCATAAAATCCAACTACTAACCATTTCAATTCTAGCTCATTCAATGAAAAATAAGATCCGACTACATGGATGTAGACCTCCATATTTTGGATCACTATTGACATACATGCCAGATCTCAGGGAAACAGAGATTGTCTGGTTTCACTTTATCTCAATTAGGCAGCATTTCGAACCTGCATGTATTTGGGATATGACTTGTCCACTACACAGCAATCAAAGTTCCTCAAACCCATAATTGAAACCTATGAAACCCAGGAAAGACCCCCAAAACCCAGCAATAAAAAACCCCCAAACCCAGAAAATTAAAATTCGTCGATTTCCACCGAATCTCCCACCTGTCACCACCACACAACACATCTCTTTCACCATCGGTCGACTCCACCGTCGATCCACGCCGATGCACCGCGAATCGTCACCTCCATGGCAGATCTAGGATGACATTGACGAAGACATTTGGTGAATCTAAAAAGTCAAAATCAAACCAGATGAGGAATTGAGATGGATAAAAAGGGGCAAAAGATGGCTAGTGGCAACTACTGTGTCGTTGTGGGTGAATAAAGGACGAAAAGAGGAGAAGGATTCTGTATACCTTCTTCGATCTAGGAAGTGTCGGCCGGAAGGAGGAAGCAGGGGTGACCCAGAGGCTGAGAGAAAGGGGTTCTCTATACTTTCTTCGATTTGGAGATGGGGTGGCTGAAAGAAGGAAGTCGTCGGAGAAGGATGCGGTCATGCGGAGGAAAAGAAAGAAGAAGCAGATGCGGATTTGGTGAGGGAAGAAGGAGAGGAGGATGAAAAGGTTTTTATTAGTTTGTTATGGAAAAGGTGAGTTAGCTAGGTCGTGAGGCAGACAAGAGAGATGAGAGATGGAGAAATTTTGGGCGGAGGGAATTTTGGGCGCCCAATTAAAATTTTGGGCGGGCCATTAAAATTTTGGGAGGGATTTCGTAAAGGTGGGAGCCGGGAGGGATTGGGCGGTAGATTAAAAATTCTAGAGCCAAAAACTAAAAAAGTCAAATTCAATTTTGTGTCGGTTATAACCGACTCAATCCAATTGTTTGTGTCGGTTATAACCCACACAAACTATTACCTATACAAATAATATAAATTTCTTTGCTAAAAATATAAAAGTTAGATTTTGTGTCGGTCGCGACCGACGCAAGTTAATAATTTGTGTCGGTTAAATCCGACTCAAAATACAACCGACACTAATGCTCAAAAAGTTGTGTCGGTTGAGTAACCGACGCGAATTTTCGACACAAAATCTAACTTTCGTGTCAGTTCACTTAACCGACACTAAACACCTTTTTTCTTGTAGTGGGATTTAGGGTTTTGAACAAAGAGATGTGATTACCTCCACCAAATCGATTGATGCATACCTCCACCAACGATTTGATTTTGCATTAGGACCTCCGCCCTGGCAGTAGCAACACCAACACCAGAGGATTTGCTTCGAGTTCAGAGGAACCAATCCTTGAATCTAGAAAATGTAATTTGAGGAGAAGAGATAGTTTTCATATTAGGTTTGGTTCCACTCTCTTCCATGAACAAACAGAAGTGAGAGAACGAAGAGAATGGGGGATTGGAAAGGGAAAGTGAAAGGGTAAAGTGACAATGGTCTCTATCTAAAAGAAATTGGGGAAAAGGGAGCCAAAATTTCGCCAGAGCCAATATTCTGGCGGCCCAAATTTTTTAGTTAAGGCGCCCAAATTTTCGGCAGCAAAATTAGAGGCGGGAAAAGAGAGTTGATGCCTGATAGCCAAAATGGAGCCCAAATTTTCAAGTGTCAAAACTCAAAACTGGGTTTGCAATTTGTGGGTATGCAAAATAAAGAAGTCCAATTATATAATTAACCACGTTAAAAATTTAAAACTTAATATTTGAAGCCGTGTATCTATAAAATGAGGGAGCCAATTTTGAAAATGAAATCCCTTTTATTAAAATTTAACTTTTAGAATAATAAAAAAAGTTCATATATCTATAATTAATCATGTTAAACTTAAGAAGATAAGTATATATTATCATAATAAATTTGAACTTATCATATTTAAAAAATCTTTGTCTATATGACCTAAACCTCCCAAGAATAAATTTTCATATTGTTCACGGTAATTAACCGTGACTAACAATTAATCACGGTAAATAAGAACTAAAAAATAAGTAAATTAACCGCGTTATATTATTTTTTTCATTCAATACCAAAAAAAATATTATGACAAATCCATTTGTCATACTATACATACTCACATATTATCTGACGAACGTTAGTGCGACAAATCATATTTTGTCATTTTATATCCTATATATTTGTTCGTTTATGTAATGGTGAAAATATATATATGTCATATCAAATTCCGTTATGATTTAATATGACAAACATCACTTGTCATAACAAATATCAACTATCACACATTATGACAAGTTCATTATATGTCATATTATATTGCTCATATTTCCCTCCAAAACATCCCGCCAAAAAATTAGTTATATATGTTAGCATATATCATCCAAATATACAACAAATTTTGACAAATTCAAATTGTCATAAAACTTATGTCATTGTAGGTATTGTGACAAAAACTAAAATGACGATAACATTGTCACCTTATTTGATTCTTCTCTTGTCCCATCAATGCTATTGTGACAAAGTGTTTATGTCAAAACTGTGTTTGTCAGAATAGAAATCTATTGTGACAAATAATACTGACAAAACATTCATTTGTCACAATAAGTACCACAATTATGACAATATCAAATCTTGTCACATTTAGTATCTTATTGTGACAAAACTATTATGACAAAATAAAATATTTGTACCCCCTTGGCTCAAGACTTATCCAAATTTCATGTTTCGATATCAGGCCTGCCTTGCTAGCTTCTGTCGTCCCGCCTTGTTTCCATACTTAGTTTTTGGATGGCCCCTTTTTTTATACCCAGCTTGGTACCTAACCTTTTGGCACCTCGTTATGCCGCCTTGTTTCCAGACTTAAGTTTTTTGGAGCCAAATTTCATACCAAGGGGTGGAGGCAATGTCCGGCTATGGGGCAAAGGAGACGGGTCGGCCATCATATAGGGAAGAAGGGTTTGGACACTGAGGCCCAAAAACCCAACCCAACAAGGCTCTACTAGCTCTGTTAATTATTAATGTTGAGCTGGTTTTACAAATTCATTAAATTTCTTGTAGTTAATCGATGTAGTAAAAGCTTATTTTTTGTGGGTAAACAGATTGGCAATCAATCTCTAAATTGTGGGGTAGCCATTATGCATTTGATACTACTATTATGCTTTGAATCTATTGATGCTAGAATGAAATTGGATTAGGAAGAGTTGAATCGTGCTTGTATTTGTTTGTCTAAATCGAGGCTCTTCGCTTCTATTTGTGTTGGATGAAATCGATACTTTATTTTTCCTCTCTAAATATGTTTGGATGAGTAGGACTACTCTTGAGCATCACACTCGAGTTATGTGTATTGAACTGAAAAAGAGTAATGTCAAGTTTTGTTCGGTTTGTCCTAAACAATCAATGTTAGCCACACATGTGTACTTGATTATATATTATGGTATTTCGACTATGAGATTACTTTTTGTTTGGTCCAACTAGAACATTGTCCAATTTGAAGTATGAGGTGAAGTTTAGTAGTATGATTTCATATGCTATATCCTTACCTTAATCGCTAAATTTAATTAAAATTCAAGGGTGATTCATTTTTTATACTATGTTGAACTCGTATAAGTTTATGCATGCTCAATATGATTTGAATAATCGCTAAATTTAATTAAAATTCAAGGGTGATTCATTTTTTATACTATGTTGAACTCGTATAAGTTTATGCATGCTCAATATGATTTGAATTGCTAGGTCTTATGGTACCATTTGACTTAGGGAGTGGCAATGGGGCAGGTCCAAGCGGGTATCTTAATACTCATACCCGTCCCGTGGCAGATCGGGTAATTTATCATGGGGCGCGGGTCAGGGCAGGTCGACCCAGTGGGTATGTAATTTATATGAAAAATATTAGAAATATTCGTTAATTTCATTAAAAGACCAATAAACAAACCATAATATAATAAAATATAGTTAAATTATTGGAGAAATTGAGTTTTTCACTTATTTACAACATCATTATAGCTAAAATATGAGGTAATATAAGAAAAATCCTAAGTAATTTGACTAAGATTACATGTAATTTAAACAAGAACGGATCGAGAATGGACGGGTCAGAACAGGTCGGGTCGATGAGAAGTACCCATGTAGGCAGCGCGGGGCGAACCTGCCCCAAAACAGGCTAAAAACTCTTTCTTGATAGCTCAAATAAAATTAACGTGATGTTTGAATGAAATAAAGTGTGGGGTAATTTGGAAAAAAGTCTCAAATGTTGAGGCAACCGACATTGCACTCAGTCCAATTCACATAAGGAACATATTGAGTAATGGATGGTGGTCGTCCTATATCGGGACGACCTTATGATTAGGTTATCACTTATCTATTTCGAGAAGTATAGATAAAAGAAAGAAAATGAACTCGAACTCTTAAGAAAGAATAAAGTTCAAACAATGATCCACATTGTTTCTCTTTTCAGAGTATCTTCATTCACAACCATTTTGTCCTAAATTTACTCGTCTGCATTGTAATAATATGAGGTCAGTGTCCTCACTGAAGTGATCAACATTTTCTTAGCTCTAGTTGACTTTGTAAGTTGCCAGTTACCCACTACCTAAAATCGAAAGTCACGTGTCTTCATGAATATTTAGTGAGTTGAATAATTTTGAGTTAGAAGTGAGATAATATGATGACACTTAAAATATACTATTTGTATACCTCATTCTATAGCAAGGTTTACACCTTTTGTAAATACATTTGTAGCAAGATCAAAAGTCAAGTGTCTTTATAAATATTTTGTGAGTCTGATCATCATCGTCATCGTCATCGTCGTGGCATATTGCTATTTCCTTCCATTACCATTGAGATAAGCCATAAAGGAGAGAAATTCATGGATACGAAGGGGTTGCAAGCTGGTGATCGCACGACATATCGTGGAAGGCATCAGTAGCCAACTCTAGCTTGCCAGCCAGCCAGCCTTTATTCATGAATGTGATTGATTGAGAAATACAAATCCAGAAAACAATCGAGCCTCTCCTTTTTCCTTTATTAATTAGGCACTTTTCCAAAAGCGAGAAATATGATTAGTATAGTCAAGTCAGGTACCATTATGATTAAGAGATGCAAGAAATAATTGTGTCTTTTTAACAAAGGTGTATGTTGTTTATTTTACATCCTGTCATGTGATTAGATTAGGTATATATGTCATAAAATTGAAAAAGACAAATGAGACTGGTTTCTCTAGTAGTCAATTTGTTTATATACCTTCTGGCCAAAAAACTGAGATTACCATTACATAAGCTAGGTGAATATGAGAGCTCTATTGATTTCAAATACATCAAATGCGTTGGAAGTGTCCAATAATGTTTGTGAAAAAGTAACACGGGAGCACCTGGTATGAAAACTCAATCAGTGAAAGAGCGTTGAGAGAATAATAAATTCAGTAGTTTTGAATTGATCCGCCTAAAAAGCTTGTCTGTTACGAGCAGATGAGCTTCTTAGTTATTTAGTGTTGTATTGGACGTTGTGTTGGAAGTTCTGTAAATAGGGAATGAAACCATTGTAGTCTTGCGAAAGTATCAGCCAAAGTCCTACATTATGCTTCAAGATAATACCTAGAGACAATTTTGTTGCTTTTTGGAACGTTTACTAAAGAGGGGATTTACAAGAAAGACACAGAAGCGAGTGAATGGTCTTCAGGTATCAGGACATCCAGCTCAGTCAAAATATGAGAAAGTTGTGAGTTGAAGACTTGGATTGTTGGGGAAAAAACATCCCTGTAGCAGGAAAAGTCTTAATGTATCTAAATAGTTTTTGTGTAGCTAATTCATGTACAAAAGTTGGAGCGCATCTATAAACCAACGTAGTTGATTGATTGTGTAACATACATCTGGTCATGCATTACATAAGTGTTGAAATTTACCTCATAACTTATGTAACTAGAAATCCCATATGATATAGAGGGGTTCCTTTGACAATGGACAAGTGAGTACCTCGTGTAGATGGTGTAATAGTTGGGTTTGAAGCTGTAAATCCTGTATCATAAACAAAATTAAATGCATCTTTTCCCCCCGACACAAATGAATGCCATGAGGAATTCTGACTAAATTCCTCGAAAGTATTTGAGTTCACTAATATCTTTTATGATGAATGTTGATCCAAGTGATTTTTACCATTAGAAATTTTGAATGAATACGTGTGAGGATGATGTCATTCATGTTCGCGAAAATTTATGTAAAATGGGTATCAATTTTCTTGGCGAAGAGTGAGTAATAAGTTTTGAAAAAGCACATAACCATGACTAATGTGTGTAGAGGTTAATTTTGCAAACCACTATCAACTTACCTGTTTTGAGCTATAAAAGGACTTTGTTAGTATGCATACTTTGTTTTCATCACTAGGTTTAACTTTGAGACCAAGAGATTTAACCATATACACTTCTTCATTAAAGTAATCATGTAAGAATGATGTGTTTACATCTAATTATTTTAGGAACCGATTATTGGTTATAGGAGTATCCTAACAGTTGTCGACTTGTCGTCATCTTAACAACTAGAGAAAAAGTGTCAGGTATTTCATGTCAAGAGTCTGAGTGTAGCCTTTGGCTATCTATCTTGCTTTATAATTATCAATGTTGATTGTGACTTGTGAGCATATTGCATCTGTACATATAGCGGTGTGAATGTGGTTTCCTTTCTCTGAATTTTTTTTTTTTTTTTTTTTGAGGATTTGGTATGGTCGGTTGTTCTAATGTGAGGAAATAGGAGGTTTCTATAATGTATGGTCATTTAAGTTGAAGACTAAAAATTATTAATTGAGTGTTTAATGTTAGTCTGAAATCGACAGTTACTGTCCCGTTACTTGGTCACGATTCCATAAGCCTATCTCAAATACAAAAAATATATTCTTAAAAAAATAAATTGTGAAAATATAAATAATTACAATTTTAAAAATTAATTACGTAACTAAAATAGTTTTAATTTATAAGATAAGACGTGAAATTCATGTGACTTACTAATACCGCAAATTAAAAAAGATTACTCGGTCGAGAGTAGTATATAAAGGGTCCCGTCGATTCAACGCAATATGTGCGCCCAGTCTCTGCTGTCTTCACAGATAAGAGAAAATACACAGAAACCAACCCCTCCTTTCTCTTCTCTCTCCCTCTCTCTCTCTCTCTCTCTCTCTCTCTAAATCTCGTGCTACCCTCTTTCCTCTTAAGGCCAAACGCCCACCTTCAGCGCCCCAAACCACGCCCCTTTTCAGCTCTCAACCCAGGTCCAGAACCTTCTTCCTAGTTCTCCGCCAAGCAGAGCTCCGTCAAGATGTCGTGGCAGACCTACGTCGATGACCACCTCATGTGCGAAATCGAGGGCAACCACCTCTCCGCCGCAGCCATCATCGGCCACGACGGCAGCGTCTGGGCCCAGAGCGCCACCTTCCCTCAGGTTTTCTTTTACTTCCCTTTGCTTCGGTTCTGATTCACACAAGTTTGATTCGTTGGATTTGGGGTCGTGTTGCTGTTCTTGCTCCCGTGATCTGATTCCTGATTGCAACTGATTGGGTGTGCGTGAGACGAGAAAGCCGGGGGATCCTGCTTGGCCTTCGCTTCATTTGAATTGGGTTCTCTTCAAGTTTATATTTTCGTGTCCTGAGCTTGATGTTTCTCGATCTGGGTATTGAGCTCGAGGATCTCTCTTGGTTTGGGAGGGTTTAGATTGTACGGGGTCTTGTGGGATTTTGCTTTAAACTATTAGTGATTTCTGTGCTTTCTTTTCATTGACTTGGACGCCCTGCTACTTGTGGCTTTATTGGATCGAAGGTTTTGCTCATCTGTTTGTGATGTTTTGTTTCAGTTCAAGCCAGAAGAAATTACTGGTATCATGAATGACTTCAATGAGCCTGGCACCCTTGCACCCACTGGGTTGTACCTTGGAGGCACAAAGTACATGGTGATTCAAGGCGAGCCTGGAGCGGTCATTCGAGGGAAGAAGGTGATGATCAATCAACTCTTTGTAGCATCTTTATTGCGCCTTCATTAGTTTCGTAGGAGTCTTTTCTAAAATGGCAAATGGTTTTGTGGGTTTTGCTTCCGGTAGTCCATTTCGAGATCATTGACTTTTGAAATTACTTGACACTCTTTACTTCTCTGGAACCATACCTTACCTTTTTCTATTGGATGGTTGATAGCATTGTAGTCCGTTTCGATCAAGCGGGTTCATTGCTGCGCGATTGTACATTGCATCTTACATTTGAAAGTTCATCTCATGTTAATCCATCTGCTAAAGCTTTTCCTTGCTGAAAATTTCAGGGAGCTGGAGGAGTGACGGTGAAGAAGACCAGTCTGGCATTGGTCATGGGCATCTATGACGAGCCAATGTCTCCAGGGCAGTGCAACATTATAGTGGAAAGGCTCGGGGATTATCTCATCGATCAGGGTCTTTAAATCACCTTCTTTGTTTCCTTCTCTTTGTTATTTATATCCATCCTCCAGGCATCTAATACGAAACCTTGCATCTGTCCGACATTATTAAGTAGCTTAAGATGAAGTGGATCACTGTGTGAAAAGGAAAAAAGAATGGGAGTTTGATTGATGTTTATTTTGGATCTTGATGGATTTGTGTTCCTTTGTACTATTTTGATGATGGTATTGTCATGATGATTGTCTAAATTAGATTTGGGGTTTGTGAATCAAATGACGGGATCGGTTTTTGATTGTCTGTCAGTGTTGTATTGGTTCGGTATGGCTTCGTGCGCTTGTGTTTTGCATATTTCTGGAGCGAATCCGGCGGAGATAATGGAGGTAGTTTCTGTCTGGAGACTTGGACGGGACGTGATACCCAAATCGCAGGCTTCCGTCGGTCGGCGTATGAACGGTGGGGTAAAAGCAAAGAGACTTTTCAGAATTTCTGTTCTTTTACGTTATCGTCAGTCGCAGTGACGCACGGTGGGGTGGATTGTTTTACAAGTTACACCCCATCGACTTCCTAGTGACGGGATTGTCTTGCAAACTGGGAACATTGTTGCAAAATTATCAACTTCGCCTAACGATTGATCTGATTTTGGTCTAATCCGATGATCATTTAGCCAATAGCATTAGTGTTCAGATTTTCTGCACATTATGCCCCAATTGAATCCGCGAGAAACGCTTTACTATCCTTATCCGAAAGCCAGCCAGAAAGAGCTGGGTGAAGGATGATATCATCAAAGGGGAACAATTTCTTTCGAATTAGATCAAGACTAGAACGAAAATACAAGAGATGGATTCGTCTTTGCATACCATCCTCTCTCCTAAAACTAACATCGATACATCAAGATCATTATATCATACAACACCATTGGGGCCGTCGAACCACAAGAGCTTTACAGGCTAGAGGTCTTTTTCCTTCCATGGTCCTACAAACCAGCCCCCTACTGGTTACAAAAACAAAGAATCTCTTCCTTCACTTGCACGGACGCCTTCTATGCTTACATTTTACCTTCAACACAGAAGCCGAAGAAGAATTGCAATAATCAAGCTGTAGGCCCACTTCCTAGACAGACTCCGTGACGACGACGATGTTTTAGAGGATGATGATGTCATAGCTGTTGTGTTACCAGCTCCAGTTTTGTTGCTCCTGATGTTAAGAACAAAAACCGCAGCATGTGTTAGACTAGAACTAGATCTACCAGAATTAGGCTGCCTAGAATAAGGATAGGAGTTTCTTTCGCTGCAAGTAACTTACCCCACTGTCATATACAAGCAGTTATCATAGCCTGCAAAACAAAGTAGACCAGTCTATGTTAGAAACCGAACAGAAAAATTAGGGTTACCGATCTGGCTGAGTCGCGGACTAGGTCGCTCTCTTTAAGACGTTCGCGGCACTGCCTCGTATTGCGCACAGCAGACTATCAGCCGGTCGCCTTCAGGATAAAACAGTCATTCTGATTTGTTGCTCATCGGTTTTGTGCGAAAAACCGGAGCTCTATGAATTCACTCACTCTCGTGTTTCTGCTCTCTGAGATGATTTTAGAGGGTCTGGGACGTCTCCTATTTATAGGAGCAGAAAACCCAGAATATTCCCTCTTTCTTTGGGAATAAGTCATATTTTAATTAGGGAGATAATTACGCCCATAATTAAAATATAATCTATTAAGATAATTATTCCTAATTATCTCCATAATATTCCTTTTATTAATTATCCATCTTAATTTTGTATTATGGGAAAATACTGGATAATTAATTAGGAATTTCATTATAGCTTTTCAAAGCTATTCATCCCAACAGTCTATTGTTTAGAAAATACACAGCATTCAAAATCAAAAGCCAAACACAGATTGTGAAAAGTAAAGTTTTTGACATTTAGAGAGAGTAGCATTACTTGGATCCTTGTCAACTCTAATTCCGGTGCCACCAAAAGTGCAAGCGATATCAGTAGCTCCATTCTGCTGGTAGTAAACATTGAAAGCATAAGAGGCATGAGAAGCCAGATTATCCGGCTGGAAACAAGGCTGACTCGGCTGAATAGGGGAGCAATCCACGTTCCCAGTACCACACGCCCAGTCAACTGCATTCTGCAAATCAAGCTGTGTTGCGTTACTGGAAGCAATGCACCAAGTCTTAGTAGCCCCATTGAAACCACTGGCACTCCCATTCGAGCTCGGCGATGGCATGCCTGCCACAGCACCTCTCCCACTAAAATCCAGATTGTAAACACTCGTCTGATCAGGATAAAACAGACCCCAGTTTCTCTCCGACTCCAACCCAGGCTTCCTGTTCTCGTTGAACAGCGAGAAGATGTATGTATCCACAGCCTCCCCTGGCTTGGCAGGAGTCCCTGTGTCATTGACCACGTGTCGGATCAAGTTGGCATTGTAGATTTGGGCATTATCAGGAGTTGCGGCGGTCTCCTTAGGCGACCCTTTCGATGGCCACCCTGTCTCAGTCACCATAACCTTGATTGTTCTGAAGTTGAGGGCCATCAATGCGAAATAGAGAGCATCTATTTGGGCATCGAACATGTTGGTATAGAGCAAGCCAGTGTTCGGGTCAATAACTTCAGAGGAGGACTGGAACAAGGCATAATCCAAGGACACGTTGTTTGGTGAATCTCTGAATGCATAGTAAGGGTAGATGTCAATCATGAAAGGGGATTGGTTATCGGCAAGGAACTCCAGTAAAGGTTTAAGGAAGAACGCATGCTTGCTGCTGAAGGCACCAGCTGAAGGTGGGAAAGAACGAGACAAGACGCCGAGGGAATGCGTGGTTGAAACCTTAATCTTCTTGTGCAAGCCGAGCTTTTTAAGCGACGTGAGGATGTTGTGCATCGCGGGTACAACCAGAGCTGATTCATTGCTCGGTGCTTCAGTGACTTCTGCACCAACTGTGATGTATGTGATCTTTGTGGCGGGGTAGTACGGGAGAATGTTGTTCTTGAGCCACGTGTCGGCATTGGATTGGAACTGGGAGAAAGGGAGCAAGTCAGAGTTTGATATCCCGATCATGAGCTCGATCCCAGTGTTGGCGAATGCCTTGAGAACTTGGATGTTCGCATCGTATATCCTCGCGTACTTGATGTTATGCTGCTGAATGAGGTCCACGGCTTTATCAGGCGTAGGAAGATCGTCGGCATTTCTTCCGTAACAAACTCCCACTATGCTTCCTCTACACAGAACTGCAAATGGAGAACTTGGATGAGCCTTAACTTCCAGAGTGCTGATGTCAATGTGGAATAAAGGGATTTCACAGCTGGATGAGTCTTAGTAGAGCAATTACATGACTCAAATGCATTGAAGATACAGAGTACAAACATTTTACCAACCTATTTAACCAGAGCAACACTGAACCAAATTATCACATGGTGACAACCATGCTTTTGGAAGTGATTAGTATATCATCTAACAGCCAGCATTTCAAGAGTTGGGACAAAATCAGAGGTGGGCTCAAGTCAGTGTAATGGGGGCAGTATTAGGCTGTCAAAGCAGTGGTCAAATAGAATAATCACAAGTAGAAAACAAAAATCTAGACCACATTTCTTAATACTGCAACCCAGCTGTCCACTAACCCACCAAACGGAAAGTCTCCAGTATTCCACAATCACACACATCCATGGATTTGCAAGGTAGAAAATACAGGGATGACCAGGGCCATCAAATTATATTCTCGTCAAAAATACGGGACCTGGGTTTGGAAAACGAAAGGGAAAGGCATAGGTATAAACAGAACAAAAATGGGTGCTTGCAAGCAAAGCAATCGATTTGGGGGAGAACATATTCCTGCCACCGACATTGGAAAGAGTAAGAGATAGAGGGCATTTACCCGGAAGCGAAAACAGCAACAGAGAAACAGCGAAAACTAGCTTGTATCCTTCTTCTTCTCCTCCTCCTCCCTTACTCGCCATTACTGCTTCTTCTTTCTCCACTCCCTCTCTGTATCTGCTGCTTGCTCTGTGTTTCTTCTTCTCTATCTCTGTTGAAGCGCCCCAGCAAGTAGCAATTCACTCACCCTCGAGGTCCTTATTATGGTTTCCAAAGCGAATCGTACGGTGGAGGAGGAGACACAGACCAACGTCTCTATTTCCCTCTTTCTCTTTCTTTCTTGCTATATTGGTATATGCGAAAAGGGCTCTCTCTCTCTCTCTCTCTATGTCACAGTCTCTCTTTCTCTCGGAGCTCGAGAGAAGGAGGGAGAAGGGAGAAGGAAGCAGGCAGCAGAGAGTAATGAGAGTGGGAGGGAGGGGGAGCAGAGAGTAGAGTGTGGTAATGGTGTGGTGGGCTTGTTTATGTCAGAGAGACAGAGAACAGGGGTCGGACCAGATTTCTCAAACTTCTTTCTTCCTTTTTCCCGATTAAAAATTTGTTTTTTCCCAATAAATAAAATATGAAATTTCAATTTTTTTTATTAAATAATGATAGGAGAAATATGCCTCAATTCCGAGAATTGGGATGTCTGTTTCTTTCTGTTACTCCCCCCTATACCACTTTCACCCGGCCCGATCAATGCAAAGGCCCACAGAAAATGGGCAGATAAAGCAAACAATCGGATATGGGCCCATAACGTCCCAGTCCAGAAAGTGATAAGTCTTCTGGGCAGGCCTGGCTATAAGCCCAGATCTGAAGCCCGACAGAAGTTGAAATCAAACAGCCACGTGTAATTTTGGCGTAGGTAGAAGACAGGAAAGCTTAAAATAATAATTATATTTTGAAAATTGAATGCGCGGTCTTTCTGGTTTGAAAAAAAACTTGACGTTAGAAATATATAATTTTTTAAACGTAACGCCGAACTCTGGGTTGTTCTTCGCTCCCGTCCTTTTCCGCAAAACGATAAAGAGTCTCTCTCTCTCTCGCACACTAATCCCTCTCTCTCTCTCTCTCTCTCTCTCTCTCTGTAAGAGAGTAAGAGACCCTAGAAAACGAAGGCTGTGTGCCGCGGAAGAAAGCGAAAGATCATGAAAATCAAGAAGCCATTGCAGGAGCTGAAGCTCTCCGTTCCCGTTCAGGAAACTCCAATCTCGTCTTTCCTGTAAGTTCCGCGCGCGATTCCTCCTTCTGTTTACTCCAAATTGCTTGAGGAACTTAGAACTGTGGTTTGGCCTCCTGAGTATTGATTATAGTAATTGATTTTGAGTGTTGATGGCGTGACTTGAACTGTATCAGCACAGCGAGTGGAACATTTCACGACGGAGACTTGCGGTTGAATCAGAAAGGCTTGCGGCTCATCTCGGAAGAGAAGGAATCGCAGGTAACTGGAACTTCGTTGTGATCTTGGTTCGATTGCTCAATTGCATTGATGTACAAGGATTGGGCCGAGTGACAAATCAGAGTGATTTTTCAAGTCGATATGTGTCAGTGTGTGATTTTTGAATTTTGTGTGTTCTTCTTCATCCAAGGAGTTTGATTGGCAGTTTTGATTCTGCAATCAGAAGTGTTAGTTGCTGTCTCAGATTATCTCCATTGTCTCAGCAATGGCTCATAGTAGTTGCTGTCTTTGCGTCTGCATACGTTCACTGTTTATTGACTTGCCTAAACTCTTATTCTTGACAGTCATCAGAGAGCAAGGAGCTTGACTTTGAGTTCTCAAAGGAAGATCTAGAAGCGATTAAAGTGATTGGGAAGGGAAGCGGAGGGGTTGTGCAACTCGTTCGCCATAAATGGGTTGGGACTTTGTTTGCCTTGAAGGTCACTGCTGAACTTTCTCTGTTGGGTGATTTAGCTAATTTTGTCTACCTATTAACTTCAAATGATTGGGTGCCCGTCTTTCCTCGTTGGAATGTTCCTAAGTTAGTAGTAGTAGTAGCAGCAAAGATTTCTGATGCAATAATGATGTGCTTACAGGTTATACAAATGAACATACAAGAGGAAATTCGTAAACAGATTGTACAGGAGCTGAAAATAAACCAAGCCTCCCAGTGTCCTCATGTCGTCATTTGCTACCACTCATTCTATCAAAATGGGGCTATCTCTCTTGTGTTAGAGTACATGGACCGCGGGTCTCTTGCAGATGTTATCAGACAAGTTAAAACAATTCTTGAACCTTATCTGGCAGTTGTTTGTAAACAGGTACATTTTCTCTTTGTTCAACATCAGGGTTACAACTTCTTATAATTGACTTTGTTAAGCTGATAATCTCCCTATAAATGCAGGTTTTACAGGGTCTTGTGTATCTCCACAATGAAAGACATATTATACATAGAGACATTAAACCATCGAACCTACTAGTAAACCACAAGGGGGAAGTAAAGATCACTGATTTTGGTGTGAGTGCTATGTTGGCCAACTCTATGGGTCAGCGGGATACCTTTGTTGGAACTTACAACTACATGTCGGTATGTTCATGCTACTGGGTTAGCCACTATAGTTGTTTAATAGATTCCTTAAGAAAGAAGAAGCCTCTGATTCAGAAGCAACATCTTTTTTCAACACCCAATTGTGCAGCCAGAGAGAATTAGTGGCAGCACCTATGATTACAGCAGTGACATTTGGAGCTTGGGCTTGGTGGTTCTTGAGTGTGCTATAGGACGTTTTCCCTATATGCGATCAGAAGATGAAGAGGAGCGGCCGAGCTTTTACGAGCTCCTGGAAGCCATTGTAGATAGCCCTCCACCCACTGCTCCCCCAGACCAATTCTCTCCTGAATTCTGTTCATTCGTATCAGCTTGGTAAGGGTTTTCATAACTCCACACCTTATGGATTCCATACTCTCTTACCAAGTTGAGACAAAAGGAAACAAGACAAGACAAGTAATTCGTTTACTACTACTTTGGATTCTTGCTGACTATTGTCTGTGATTTCTACAGCATACAAAAGGAACCTCGAGACAGATCATCGTCATCGGACCTCTTGGTGAGTCTTACAACATCATTTGTTTCAAGTCTCATGTCTCCCGACAGCAGCTTAAGAAACCTCGGACCCTGATTTTGTAACTTATGGTTTAACCTTATTTCTTCTCCCGCTCCCCAGAACCACCCTTTCATCGAGAAGTTCCAAGACAAAGACATCGACCTTGGCATTTTGGTAAGTAGCTTGGAACCCCCAGTGAACTACCCAAGATAAGTTTTCTTCTAGTATTCCAACCCTGCACTGTGTGAGGCCAAACTACCTCCTTGTCTTCTAATACTTGTAAGTCGGATTTCAGAGCGTTGAATTCTTTCCTTAAAGTAACCAAGCCAATAGCTTTTGCATCCATCACTATTGTTTGTTGATGTGAGAACGATACAAAAGATGCAATTTGGTTTGTTTGTCGTCCTTCATGCTATGCATAGTGCTCTGTGCTTTGGTTTCTTCGTTGTCTTTTATGGGGATTTCTAGTGAATGTGGCAGTTGTGGGATCGGGAGAAATGTCAAGCTCTCGAGTTTGATTTGCTCAGTTTCATAAGTTCCCACGCAATGGATGTGTTAGCCTGTACTGTATTGTAATGTAATGTGTTCAAGGTATGAAGCTAGTTCGCGAAGTTCATGGGTCCGCTCAATTCGATGGTTTGTTTAGTTCAACTTGTGAGCTAACTCTTATGAGATGCCTAAAAATTGTTGGTAGCGAGCCAACTCAGCTATTGACTTATGAGTGAATCAATTGATATCTTATGAGTTGGTTTGTTGATAATTTATTGGATTGTTAAATTATATATCTTACCGCATATGATGTTTAAAACATTCTGTATTTGAATTATATCATACTTTTGGAGTATATAGTATTCCAAGTGATTGACCATCAATTTACATTGTTGTACTTTGACAAACCATAATCGTCAATTATTATTATTATTGAATTGATCTTCATATTAGGGTTTAGAGAATTGGCACATAGGGCATATTATACTAAACTCAGTTTAACTTATGTAATAGTTAGAGATATTTTATTATGAGTATTCGAAGTACTGTAAACTCTAGGCCTACAACAGTTTGACCCATATATATAAGCTTAGTAAGAAAATACTATTTAGCCTTGAATTAATTGGATTTTGGGGTATTTTATTATTTCGTAGCCCTTAATGTAAAAGTGTTAGGTCCTAATTCTCTAAATCATAAAATGGTGCATCTTGTATAAAGATGTATTTCGACGAGGCAGAACAATCGATTATTGCTTCTAATTAAATTGACAATTAAGTATAGGATTGTTGATGCCAATAAAATTGATTTTAGATATTATTCATTAGAATTAAAATATAATACAATGTTTCAAACTCCAGTTTATTTATTTAATATATGGATATCATTTTCTTTATCCAAACATTTTTAGGGCAGGATAAACAAAGGGGTTTAATAGAAGCAACATCTTTTCATAAGTAAATCAAAAGAATGTATTATTAAGGAAAATAATAGGGTACAAAATCAGAACTACTAAACCTACAAAACTCTGTAACTTATCATCCCCTATATCAATCATATCTACGATCATATCATGACAAGGTGAAGGTATGATTCATATGACAAATGGTAAAGCGTGGATTTTATAGGTTTTATCTGAATTTTGGACCGGTTTAATTAACAATAATATATTGGTTTGTCCTCCTTTTGTTTTTGTTCTGTACGCTAGAATGATTTGTTTGTATTTGGCCTAAATAACGGACTTTGTTCACTTGTTCTCTGCAACGTTTCGGATAGGCATAGGCATTTCCGTGGGAGAAAATAGAGAAATTCTGGCTCCCCAATCCATCCATGTTTCTGTGGGCGTCACTGCCAAGTGATGCGCCTTTGTCCACCCTCGTGGTCGTGTATCATTTTTCCAATGATATTTCTGAGTAATCAATAGAAATTGACACAACATCTATATATTTTTTTTTTCTCCGCCTAAAGTTTATCAACTATTTATTTAGGTAAGATTATTTTATGCGTAATTTAAGAATTAATAAGTTAGTTTCATCAATGCAATCACCCGTCACTTATTACGTGATTAGTGTGTAATCAAAAGATAAATTCACATATTTGTGTCAACACGCTCTTACCACAGCTAGTACTGTTACATCTTTTCTTTTTTCTCTTTTTTTTTTTTTGAATTAGACTAAGATAGTTATCTTTACTGTCCCAAATTTGTATGCGCAAATAAGTCATTGAGTCAAATTTCAGCTAATCGCTAATGCTAAGTATATTCTAACAACATTTTTATAGATAATTATCGCCGTGTATTACTTAAATAAGACACTAAATCTAAGAAGTACACGCATGGACATAAACAAAACACCATACAAAAAAAAAAAAAAAATCATCATTTGGCTACCAATAATATCCAAACCGTTTTGATCAAAAAAAAAAATAATATCCAAACCGTGGCACCAAACCAAATCATATCTCTATATGGTGTGGAACACCCCAATCTCGATCCTGAAAATCTTTTTCATCATTTTTGTTTCCTTTATGGCGTCATAATGCTTTCTTCCAATTGGTATCAAAATATGCCAGGAAGCATTATGCGGTCGAAGAGTGGACGTCCGTCTGTCCAGCTGCCGTTGGGGAAAAGCCGAGTGGGCCCCTGCAGGCCGAAAAGTGGAAAGGAAAGGCACATGTGGGTACTAAAACGAAACTAAGCCCCATCAGTGGGCCCCAGTTGTTAGTGGGCCCGTGGTGACCCAAATCCGTGGGCGCGGCCGCATGGATCATAAAGCGATTAATAAGAGCTCCGGATATTCCGCAAATAATTAACTAATAAATCTAAACCCCAGAAATAAATAATAGAAAACAGAAAATGAGAAAGGAGAGGAAATTAGGTATCCACATATATCATCCTTAAGCAATTTGGGGGGGGGGGCGAGGCAAGGAACTGACTGATGTCCAGCTCAACTTCCTTTCCTTATCCTCTTCTTCTACTTCTATCTATGTCTAGGGTTATCTTGGAGATTATTTGGTCTACTAGTCTTTCAATTAGACCTCCACAGCCATGCATTACCAGAAGGGAGGATGATCGATTTATTCAAAACTATTTTCTGATAGAGGTTAAGGGTGGAGATGGGACCATCATTAGGGTTTGAATTGATGATAGTCTTGTATAGGATGCTCTCGAACCGGTTTGATATTTGGGATTCAATGTGTAACGTCCTGAATCTTTAATGTTTTTTTTTAATAATTTCACGAAACAAAAGGAAATGATGATGAGAAATCAAAGAAAGAGTGGAAGATAATTTGGGTTTCAATTTTCTTGCTCATTGGGCCATGAGCCTCTCTCCTCTCCTTTTTTTTCTAACGGAATTCCCTTTCTTAACCCACAAGTAATATTAATAGCTCCTAAACAAGACTAATATGAAACCATATTCCAACATAAACAAATAGTACAACTAATATGACCCAAATTGTCCAAAATAACAAAGAAAGTGATAATGATTCACGAGCTCAAACTTTCGATTAATCACATCAGCACATATACGTAAAAGAATGTAATCCCACAATAAATTTGATTTGCTAACAACTAACCACATATCAAGCTCATATCTGTAGTCATCGAAACGATCCATCAGTTGTTGTCTTCTTGAATTGGGAGTGACCGTCTTGCTCATTTTTTCACGTAGTGAATAACCCGACTCATCTAAATCAAGATGCTGCATTATTGACAGCAATGATGCTGCCATGGTGGTCTTCCTTATTGACTCTTTGTTTAAACTAGGGCAATAAGCAATAATATGAATTTGGGATGTGCATCAACTTATCTCTCTTCTTACTTCATGCAAGATTACACAATTTGTTATCGATAAACCCTAATCACTTCTTTTTTACTTAATCGCACAAAGAGTTGAATCGAAGGCATCTTTGGAATGATGCTGTCTCTTTGACGGATAGTTAAATTGCTCTGTTTTACCATTTGGGGGAATGTTTTGGCAAGCTGGTGATTGAACCCAATTAGAGATAAGTATGCTAGCCACTAGCCAGCTAAGCTTTTTTGGTTGTCATTAATATTTCTCCATTTATCTTTTTGGTTTTAGCCCTAACGTACAACTGTGCAAGTTTATTCTTCTCTACTACTGCTACTTCAACCGGCAGCTTGCACAAAAGAAGAGTCGTAGATGCACTTTTCTTGTTCATTCAAAATAAAAGTTCGATCAATTGATTAGGTGACCACAAGTCATATGTGTCCTACATAGTCTATCCACAAGTTCAACTTTGAAGGGAATATATGCCCTTGTCAAGCTAAAGTAACGGATTTTAAATATTTTAGAAATTTGAATAGCGTTGACTCGTCTATTATCATAAATTACATATTTATTGTCGACACACTCATCAACAGGGATAATCTCACACCTTACAGGAGTCAAGAGTCGGATACTAGAATGGAAATTGAGTAATTGTACGAGGAGCTAGCGAATCAATCTTAAGAGTTGGATATCCTATGGATGGTTTCGCTTCGTTACAAGGGGAAGCTTGTCGATAATTATATTATGTCTCGCCAGGGTATAGACCTTGACCTCCAATCCAAGAAAATCTTATTGTGTTTCTTGACCCTAATTTTGGAGAAGGTTGACCATCTTGACCAGACACAAGCATAGATCGTAGAGTTGTACATAACTCGAGATTTGGGACGACCTCTTATTCTTCAAGAGTAGTTCTTGTTGATCCCAGAATCATTGCACAAGTAGGAGGCATTAAGTCGAGTTTATTTTCAACTCATTCTTAACTATTGTGTTCATACAGGATAATTAAGGTTGGATTTGAATAGGGATGACAATGGATCGGATGGAGGGCAAATAGTGAATAATCGTTACCCTGCTCAAAATAGTTCGAATTCTACTCATATCCATACCCACATTAGAATCGGGTAGAAAATCAAAACCATGTCCATAGACTTTCGGGTTTCGAGTATGCACGGTCATCCATGAGTAATGATTTCTCTTTATAACTTCAACCAACATGTTAAGTTCACATTTATACTCACATTACATAAGTGGGAAAGTACGACAATAAATAACTAGAATGAAGAAAATTAAGGGAAAGCAAATATGTTATATTTGTATGCTAAATATCAAATATGTTTGAAAAAATAATGATTAATTCTAGACAAAATACATATACATGTTTATAATCTGGTTGATTCATGTTGGATAGTGAGAAAATCATGTTCATGCATTCCCCACTATATTCGGATTCAGATTTTACCCATACCCACTAAAACTTATTCAAATTCAAGTTTTACTCTGCCCAAATAGGTCAAATTCGGATAAATATCCACAATTAAAAATATTCTTGCCATCCATATATTTAAACATTACAAACCCAATTAAGGCAATAAGCATAAATGATAATTACTAGGAAGTTTAGTACTTCGGTTATCCAACAAGTAAATGACCCTTTTTTTTTACTTGCATTAGCAAAAAAGATAGACAAGAAATCAAAGGAAGTAAATGTCATTACTTTAGGAGGCAAAGGATAGGGACCGGCCGTTTCTTTCTTCTCCCTTTTTCTTTTGCAGTTAACAAGAAAAGGTGGTGGTGGTGGTGGTGACTAGGATTTTGGATATGCCTTCCCATTATACACTACTCCACGATCTTATCCTCATCTCTCTTCCTTCTCCTTCCTAGTAATATAGGAGCCCAACACCCACGAAATTAAATACATATCAATTAATTAATCCAAATAATATTAATAATAAATAACAAAAAGAAAAATTAAAAAAAATCCCCAGCCAGCCCAGCCATACACTCCCACAAAGAAGATGACGATGACAAATCACAACATCACATAAGATAAACATTTATATTTTTCTCAAATTTTATCATAAATTTGTCAATTCCATGACATATAAATAAAAAGCATTATCCTTTGCTCCCAACCCACAAATATATTTTTTCTTATGTATGTATGTATGCTCTCCAGGTGCGTTCTTTCAAGCCTCTAATCACACCCTTCTAATTCTCTCCTTCCAATACAGAGAATTCCCTCTGTTTTTCTTCTTTCCTTCTTCCATTTGGTTCCATTCGATCATCCAGAAGAAAGAGATTATGGGGGAAGTTGCAGGAAATAGCCATGGTGATCAACAACATGTGATGGTGATGGGCGGGTTGAGGTTGACGAAGGAGAAGACGAGATGGGCAATGGAGGAAGACAAATTCTTCGAATCAAGATCTGCTCTTCATGGTGGTAATAAGAAGGAAGAACAGCCGACTTCGTCACAATCGTCAATTGGTTCGCCTTCTCTCGACACGTCGTCGTCTTGCTTCTCTGATGACGACGACGATGAGGCATCATCTTCATCTTGTTCTCCGACGGCTTCGGCTTCGTCTTCCAATTCCTCGTCTTCCTCCACATTGGCTGCCAAGAACAGCGTGATGAATGAGAATGACGATGATGATAATAACCGCAGCCCTCTTTACGAGCTGTCCGAGCTCATGTCCCAGCTCCCCATCAAGTAAGCAACAAACACCAGCAAATTTTTCCTCAAAAGGTTGAAGCTTTTTTGTCATATCTCTAATGGGTTTCTCTGTTCTGTTCTTCTTGTGTTAACAGAAGGGGGCTGTCGAGATTCTACGACGGGAAATCGCAGTCGTTCACGTCGCTGGGGAGCGTGCAGAGCTTGGAGGATCTGGTGAAGAGGGTGCCTTCAGGGAGGATTCTGAAGATCAAGTCGAAATGCAAGAGCTTCTGCTGGGGTTTGGAGAGGCAGAAGAAGCATTGTTATGGTCCGAAGCCGGCCATTTCGAAAAAGGGTGGTGGCTCAAGTTCCAGAGTTTCCTGTTTCTCTTCTCTCGCCAAAACTCCTTCTTCGCCCGCGGTACAGCATCAAGCCGCCTACTTGCTGTGAAAAGAGTGTGAAATCCGACCAAGCCATGTTCAGGTTTCAATTTTGGCCAATTGGGTCTTCGTTATATTGCCTGTTTAGCCCCAAAGGTACTGGCTTTATGGCAAAGCACCGGTAGTAGTGATTTGAGTTTTATCATGTCTATATGATTCATTGGGTCTCTAACTAGGAGGGTAAGAAGAAAGAACCCAGGAAAAAAAAAAAGTGATCGATTGTTTGATTACTTACTAGCTTACTTACTGACCTCTGACACAGAGAGATATATGCTATGCTATGGTTTCAACAGAAGTGCAATTTTGATTTTGTTCATTGATTTATGAAAAGGGTTCGTTTTGTTTCTTTTCCTGATTATCATCCTTGTTCTTGTTTAGGGGGATTTGTTTCCTCGTGGAGTCTCAAATCCTCTCGTTGAATTTGACTCCTAATATAAGGAGAATTCAACTGCCTCCTCCTACTCGTTGCAACGAAAGAAAAGAGTGAAAAAAATGGAAAACCACCGACGATTTGGATCTTTATCAATTAATGAGGTTTTTGTTCAACAACCATTAACGAGGATTGGGGAAGTGGGAATCCAATCCATGGCCTGCCAAAAGTGTTGCCCTGTCTTGATCCTTGTTTGTCAACATAATAAGCCTACCGTACTATATTTCTTGTCTTTCATACCAAGGGGAAAAGAAAAGAAAAGAGAGAGAGAAGGCCAGAAGGGAACCATTGTTTGTCGGCAAGGGAGACATTCTAACGGTCCAAGATAGGGTGCATAACCCATGGTTATGCACCCGTGAGTAACCCAACAGGAGCCGTCCATCTGGAGCGGGGAGATCTAACGGCTGGGGTCGGAGCGGGGTGGGGCAGGGGTATTTTTGTCCATTTTTTGAATTTATGTCCTTCGCTCGTTATTCCTTTTTTGTTTATCCTTGGCCGAGCTGGAATTGGATTCATGAGAGAGAATGAGAAGTAAACAGAGCAATCGAGAGTTTTTCTCCGAAGGATCTGTCGATGGCGAGAAGGTTGGTGGAGGACGCGATTCTTAGCTTAATCGGCAGCGGATTTGCGAGTTATAGTTGTTAGAAGGTCTGTGGAGGACGCGATTCTTCTTCTTCTTCTTGCTCGAGGTTTTGGCTCGATTTGTTTGTGTTGAAGTTTCTGCTGGCCGTTGTTTGGTCTCCGTCGAGGTAATTTGTAGTGATAGTAGGATTTCACGTTTGCGGATTGATTCCGTTCTGTAATTTGTTTTTGATGTTGTGTATATATGATTATACCATGCAATACCAGTTTATACCATATATCTGCGTTTTCTCTTTTGTGCTCTCTGTTTTATGTTCTTTGTGATCAATGATCTCATTATGTTTGTATAAGTTTGTTCAGTTGATTGATCCGTAGTTGAATTTATGTTTTGTGCAGGAATTTTTTGAATCTTCTTTGTTGACTGAGCTTTTTTAGTGCAATGAGTGATCTCAATCAAGGCGCCATTGTTTCTTTGAATGAATCTAATACTGGATCTAGTTCTTCTAATAGTATTGTTGAATCGGAAGGTAAGAATTTTAAATGTGTTTGGTAAGTTGATGTTTGTATATATGTTATACCATACAGTACCATACTGGTATTTTATAGTATTTTTGCATATGAGTGTTGTGTTTTATTTTTTGTAGATTGTTTTTATAGTTGTTGTGATTTTATGTTTCTGTATATATGTTTATACCATGCAATACCTTGCAATACCATGTTATACCATATGGTACCAGTGTTTATACCATGTTATACCATACTGGTATACTATGGTATTTTTGCATATGAGTGTTGTGTTTTATTTGTTGTAGATTGTTTTTATAGTTGTTGTGATTTTATGTTTCTGTATATATGTTATACCATACAATACCATGTTATACCATAAGAAACTACACTGGTATTTGTATAGTTTTGATTGTAATAAACTTTACCATATGATACAATGGTGGTATTATAGTTTGTACAGCATTAATGTTTCATTGTTTTTATGTTTTAGGTTTTGATGGTATTGATCCTAATGTTCGAAGTTCCTGGAACAATCTTGAGTTCGCTACAACTGATGATGCATATAGATTTTATGTGGATTATGGGAATTATAAAGGTTTTTGTGTGAGGATTTACCATCAGTCGGCATGTCCGAAGCTTAATAATGGTTCAAATGCGGTTTATTATATCAAGTATTGTTGCAATAAGGAAGGCTGGAGGATTGGTAGTGAGAATAATCCTGCTAATCGTGGTTCTATTGATGCGAAGGCTCGTGTTCGTCATGTTCCAGAAATCAGGGGTGGATGTGATGGTGCCTATATTCGAATTAGGTGGTTTAAGCAGTTCAATTGTTACAAGATTTATAAGTGGTATGATGTGCATAACCATGACATGATTCCTGTGGCTATGCGTCACTACATGAGATCGAATAGGAAAATGGCTCCTGTGTATAAACTGTTGGCAGATGTGAATGATGCTGCTGGTATAGGTGCGACTGCTTCGTATAATGCAATTAGTACAGCTGGTGGTGGTCGGAAGTGTATTGGTTTCACAAGAAATGATTTGAAGAACCACCTGCGGACAGTGAGGACGTCATCAATGGAGCATGGTGATGCAACTGCATTACTAAAACACTTTAGAAGACAAGCTAAGCTGGATCCTGGCTTTTTTCATGAGGTAGAGGTTGATGTGGATGAGAATATTGCTAGTATTTTTTGGGCAGATGGGAAGATGCGGATGGATTATCATTTTTTCGGGGATTCAGTTAGTTTTGATACTACATACAGAACGAATAAAGAGTATCGACCACTAGGTATGTGTTCTTATTTTTATTTGGTATTATGTTGTTACCTGTTAATACTATGGTGGTATTTTGTGGTATTCATTATGTTGTTATCTGTTAATACTATCGTGGTATTTTGTGGTATTCATTTTTTTAACACTGTGTACCACATGGTATGTGCAGCTCTGTTTGTTGGTTTCAACAACCATCATCAACTTACTGTGTTTGGAGCTGCCCTTCTATATGATGAAACAACGGCAACGTTTGAGTGGTTGTTTAATCAGTTTTTGGAATGCATGGGAGGTGTGAGCCCGTTGTCTATCTTTACTGATCAGGCTGCTGCAATTGCTGCTGGTATAAGGTCTGTTTTCCCAAGTTCTTTCCATGGATTGTGTTCATGGCATATCTCACAGAATGCAGTTGTTAATTTGGGATCTTTGTGTGATTCGGATTTCCTTTGTGAGCTTAGCTATTTGATGTACAATGTTGATGATGAGGATGATTTTGAGTATAATTGGAAAAGAATGATAGATAAGTGTTTCCCTGGGAAAGGACCTCTTGGACACAGTTGGTTACAAGGTATTTACAAGGTGAGGGAGAAGTGGTCATCGGCTTGGGTGAATTCTCATTTTGGTGCTGGTATGAAGAGCACCCAGTTAAGCGAGTGTTGCAACAGTAATCTTCGTCATTACTTGCAGTCAGAATTTAGTATTCCTAGATTCTTTGTACATTTTGATAGGATGCTTGATAATAAGAGAGATGCTGAAGAAGAAGAGGAGTACAGAGCACTTTCTACGTTTGCTGATTGTCGCTTTTCAAGCAGTGCTATTGTCAAGCAAGTTGCTGATCTATATACCCCAAAAATATTCCAGCTTTTTCTAGGACAGTACAAAGAATCTCTTTCATACAATGTTTTCCCTAATACAGAGTTAGCTCAAGAAGGGAATGTAAAGATCTTTGATGTCTTTACATTGTTAGCAGACTTGTCAAGGTTTGACAGCAGACTGCTCATAGTTGATTTTGATAATGGTGAAATTAAGTGTACTTGTCGCAAGTGGGAGTCAAGCGGTTTGTTGTGTAAGCATCAATTGAGGGGATATGATTTGTTGTGGTCTACAACTTGCAATGTGAAGTTTCATCACATCCCTTCTAGTTTGATTTTGAAGCGATGGACAAGGACAGCAAAAACTGGTGGGAATTTTGGATTTGCAGTTTCGTCTACTGAGGCTCCGTCAAAGTATCGGTCTCGCCTGTTTAATATTTCAGCTGTTTCTGCTTCGCTTATCAGTAGGGTTTGTTTGAATGATGATTTGTATAAAACAACCATGGATTTCATGAGTGATTTGATAAAGAAGTGTGAAGCTTTACCAACTGTTGAAACAGCTGGTACGGGTGGATCGACCAACTGTGAGAGTAAGTTCCTTGGCCCCCTTTTGTTTGTGTATATGATTTTTGTTATTTTTTTGTCTGCCAAGTTGTTTTACCATGTTGTACCATGTTGTACCATGTGGTATAGTGTGGTTTTCTTTATTGTTTCTGGTAATATGTTGGAATACCATATGGTATTATGTGGTATTGATTGTAGTATGTATTTCTTATTTGTAGGTGATGTTCCAGTTCGAAATGTGAAGGGGTTTAAGCCTAAGAAGGATTCATTTAAGCCTTCGAAACGACCTATTACAGAAGCTGAGATTGGAAGGGCGGCTAGTAGGAAGAAGAAAAAGACTAGCAGATTGGAAGAGGAGAAATTGAAGGCTGTGGAAGAAAGTTTGAAGTTGAAGTTGTGATAGTTGTTTGAAGGCTGTGGAGTTTTATTAGGTGTTGAAGGATGTTGATTTTTATGTGTTTCTTGCATATTTGTTTTGTTTTGAAGTAGTATTGATCTGCACATGTGAAGGACTTAATGTTTAGTGGATGATTTTAACCTTTGATATAATGTTTTTTCTATATGGTGTTGTGTGGTGTTTTTAAAAATGTTTATACCATGTTATACCATATGGTATACTATGGTAAAAACATTTTTATGACTGTAATCTTAGCTAAGTGTTGTGTTCAGTTTAGCATAAAATAGCATGTGGCTTTGTTCTGGTGTATTTAAAAATCCTTATACCATGTTATACCATATGGTATACTATGGTAAAGATCTTTATACCATGTTATACCATATGGTATACTATGGTATAAACATTCTAGATGACTGTAATGTTAGATATGTGATCTGTGATGTGTTCAGTTTCCATAAAATACCATCTATGTTGTTGTGGTGCATTTAAAAACGTTTATACCATGTTATACCATATGGTATACTATGGTATACACATTTTGATGACTGTAATCTTAGATCTGTGACAATAATAAGGGGTAAGATAAAGTACTAGGCTGTTACATAACCATAATAAGAAGTGTTTCAAATGTAAGTTATAACACACCCATAAGAAACACACTGAATACCTTGTTTGTTCTAAAAAGCACACACATAAGAAACACACTGAATACCTTGTTTGTTCTAAAAAGCACACACATAAAAAAAAACTAGCAAATTGGTTGTCTGCAAAAGCATTGTTTTCAGAAGCTGATGTCTAGTAGATATTGTAACCATACTGATTCTGTCCCCTTCCCTTACTTGCTTTGATTCTTCATAGCACAGTACTTTGTGGCAGCCTTCATTATCCGATCACGCTCCAGGTTGTCTTTATTGAGGATGATATCCAGCATGATACACTCCCTGTCTTCTTTGATCAGATCCATTCTCTTCCAGTCTGATTGCATAAAAGTCTTGTACTTTCCTTCCCAGTGGCGCATCCATCTGATGATGTACAATCCACATGAGCGTTTATCTGGCTGTGTAATCTTCCCCAGATTGAACCAGTCAAACTTTTCCCAGGTGATTTGTCTGTTTCCACCGTACACACTCATGTAGTTGATTGCATACTTGACAACTCTTTCTGCCACTGGTTTGTAAGTCTTGTCAAAGTCTTTGTAGCGGAGACTGTCAAGCACATCAAATCTTGTGTTCTTGATGTTGACACAGATCATGATGTAGTGTTCACCATCACAGTAAGGGAAGAACCACTGCATATAAATGAAGTGATAATGTTAATGGACAATTATAAATATGTTTTGAGGAATAGTTTTTTGATGTCATACCATATGGTATTTTATGGTATTTGTAGTGTTACTTACAAGGTCACAGTTCTGGAAGCTGAGGTCTTTTGCCCATGGTTTGTCAGAAATATATTCATCCACCTTGTCGAAGTATTGGTCTGCACTTAGTGGAGGTTTGTTGTTTTCTATGTCCAGCTTGCAGTCAGACTGTACATTTGAAATTATGTTAAAGCAATCATATATTCAGGTATGGTAAGTATAGTACATTAAAATATGGACAAACTTACTGCCAAATGACTAGAGAAGAACCACTTGGTGATTTTTCCTGTTTTTGCTTGATCTCTGTTCATCAGATCTCCATACCAGTCCACAACATCATTTATTATCAGTTGATCTATGTCAACAGATTGCAATGATGACCTTTTGAGCAAGCCTGTTCCATCCTCTCTTCTGAACATTACCTCGTCCCTGTTCAGAAGAGTATACCACATTATACCATGTGGTATTGTTCAACATTATACCATATCATACCATACCATACCATATGTCATTAAGAAATTAATTGATATTAAGAAATTTACTTACTCGGAGACAATTTTGTTGTCTTTGCACCTTATGTACTCAAGAATGTCATTGAAAACTTCATCAGGAGTTGTCTGAGGTGGTGTAACCATCATTGCAATTGGGATTGCATCTAGGGCACCATCTTTTGCTTCAACTGGTTGATTTGCTGCTGATGAGTCCATTCCTGGCATTGGTTGTGAAACTGGTGTACTCAGGTCATCAATGTAAGCAGCCAAGCATGCATTTATCTCCTGTAGCCTCTCCTGGCTGTTCGAGTACAAGCTTGACCATTCAATGAATTGTTTATTCTCCAACTGTTTGCTTGTTTTTTCTTGTGGAGGGGTTGATGTTTTTGCTTTCTTCTCTGGTCCATGGACATTCTTAACCACTATCCTTCTTTTGCGCGGTTCTTCTGGTTGTTGTGATGCTGTTGCTGTGGTGATGTTGACATTTTCTGTTTGTGATGGTGGATTGAATGGGCTGAGGTCAAAAGATGGTATGTCTTTGTCTTTGGTGGTGGCTGTCTTTGGTGGTGCATCTGTGGGTTTTCCTGCAGTCTTTGGTGGTGGCTGTATTGCTTCTTCATCATTGTTCTTCTCCTTTTCTCCCTCCTTTGAAACAAGCACATCTGACTGTGTCTTTTCACTGTCATCTGCTTCCTGATCTTGATTCATTTCACTTGACTTTTCTTGATTTCCTTTTTTGCTGGCCTCCTGGTTCTTCTCAGCAGTTTCAGTAGTATCCTTCTCAGCAGTTTCAGCAGGATTCTCTTTCTGCTGTTGAGCTTCTGGTTTTGTTGGAGAACCATCTTGATTCTTCCTTTTCTTCCATTGTGTTGGTCCAGCTAGATCCACTGTTGTTTGTTGAGAATCATCATTTCCTTCAGATTCAGTGACTGTGGGTTCTTTCCTTTTGTCTGTTTTGAGCTTGTCAAAAAAATGCTGCAGAGTGTCTTGCAGGTTTGCATCTTTTTCTATATCTTCATCATCAGACTCAGCTCCTTCAGTTTGTTCGATAATCACGTCATCAGATCTTTCTCCTTCCACTTCATCAAAGTTTTGATCAGCTTTTTGCTCCAACATTTCCTTGTGTTTGACAAGCTCTTCAATTTGAGCTCTGTACTGCTTCTTGATTGATAGCAACATAGCTTTCATTGATGTTTTCACCATCTTCAGTGCTCTCTCAGCCTGCATTAGTCATTTTTGGTCTGTAAGTTAATATTTACAGTAGAATACCACATATTACCATGGTGGTATTGAATGGTATGTGCATTATACAGTATAATACCATATATTACCACCATGGTTCATGTGTGGTATTTTAGTTGTATGAATTGGACAATTTGTAACATATGGTAATTTATACTTACTTGGGGAACAGTCTTGATCATCTTCAAATCAAATATTAGTGATGCTGATGGTTGTTGGTCTGTGTTGTTGTCATCATCATCACTGTCAATGTCGACAATCTTCTCTTCTTTGTCCTGTATCTTCATCAGCTTATGGAGTTCTTCTCCACCATAGTAGCTCACTATGTTTTCAAAGTTCCTTTGCACAGCAGTGTCATCATAGTAGCTTGCTGTTGGGATTTGGAACTGGGTGGAGAAGGCCATTTCATCCAACTTGTACATGAAGCATACCTTTTATTTGTTTGTGGCAAGGAGAAACAGTTGTATTAGTATTTGATGTACTAGGATTTGTAAAGCTTTTAGGGTATAGTAATTGAAAATGGAATTATTGTGGGTATAGATACTTACTGTTAAGAAATGAACATCTGCATTGATGTACACGGTTTTTGCAGTCAACCCGTGATTCATGTAGTCGAAGAAGAACTTGCACCAGTTGTATTCTTTGAAATGGTTGATTGTGTCTGGCTGCATGTACTCCAGCACATTCAACTCAGCAGTAGGGTTTGAATATGGGCACAGTAGAGCTCCCGTAACCAGAATCCAGAACAGCTTGATCCATCTTGCAATGGTATGAGCATTAGAAATGTCATGCTCTACATTACCTAATTTCACCCTTCCATTTGTAGCTGGAGCTTCTAGTTCTAGTAGGACCTGCGTCGCATAGTCTACTGCTTCTTCCAGTGATAATTTCTTGAGCGTCACTTCCTTTTTACCCATTGGTAGACCATAAACTCTATGAAAGTCAATTGGTGATATCTTCATGTAGGTTCCACCAGGCAGCTTGAATGCTTTCTTTATCGGATTGTACTTGCTCATTGTGAATAGAGCAAAGTTCGTGTTTATCTTTGTTTGCTGGATGGATGTTAAGCCGTCAAGGCCTAATTCCTGCAATTTTTCCCTCTGTTCAGCTGTTAATGTTCTTGAAAGTGCATTGATTCTTGTCGGGCTGCACCTTGTTCGAAATTTGTCCCTATGTCTCGACATGATGTACCTGCATCCAGAATAGAAGAATTGCTATAACATACCATAGCATACCATAGCATACCATATTCTACCAGTAAGCAAAAACACCAACTACCATACCATAGCATACCATACTATACCATATTCTATCAGTAAGTAAATGAATAATTGAGGTAGTGGCTTTGACCAGTACTTGTGTGGTTTCTCCTTAGAATACCATATGGTACCAGTGTGGTATTGTAAGAAAATCAGAGCATAGAATAGGTTTTTATACTTTTCCTGTAAAATCTTTTTCATTCTTACTTTGACCACTACTGGATCGGTTTCTCCTTATAATACCATATGGTACCAGTGTTTATACCATGTTATACCATATGGTATACTATGGTATTGTAAAAAAATCAGAGTATGGAATAGGTTTTGTTGTCGTTTTATACACTTTTCTATAAAATGTATTTCACTGTAAGTACTTTTACCACTATTGGAACGGTTTCTCCTTATAATAGCATATGGTACCAGTGTTTATACCATGTTATACCATATGGTATACTATGGTATTGTAAAGAAATCAGAGTATGGAATAGGTTTTGTTGTCGTTTATACACGTTTCTATAAAATGTAGTTCACTGTAAGTACTTTTACCACTGCTAGAACTTTTTCCCCTTAGAATACCACATGGTACCAGTGTGGTATTGTGAAAACATCAAGCATAGTAGAGTTTTTCGACACGTTTCTATAAAATGTAGTTCACTGTAAGTACTTTTACCACTGCTAGAACTTTTTCCCCTTAGAATACCACATGGTACCAGTGTGGTATTGTGAAAACATCAAGCATAGTAGAGTTTTTCGTTTGGTTTTTGTGATGTATGTACTTGAAATTAGACATTCAGAATCACGAATCTAGTTTTTGAAGAAAGAAGTGATGATTTACCTTGATCGTGTCTAAGTTGGAAACCCTAATTTTGTCGCTGAAGACGTTGAAGTAGAAACCCTCACTTGATCTCTGAAGGCGTCGAAGTGGAAACCCTCACTTGATCACTGAAGGCGTCGAAGTGGAAACCCTCACTTGATCGCTGAATAACTGAGATCGGAATCCTTTGCTACGCGAACTGAAAACTCGAGATTCGACTTCGACGGTGCAGTTTGCGAAGATGAAACGCGAGAGAGAGAGAGAGAGAGTGAGAGAATGGATAGCGTGAATGCAGAGCAAAAAAGCAGAAACTCGAACCGTCTGCGATTTCTCTGGTGATAATGATGGCGGGGAAGTGTCAGTTACCTTTTTCAAATTGTCAGAAGGTTGATTACTATTTTACCCCTACGTGTATTTATTATTTTACATCTGACGGTTGCGGATGGATTGCAATGGACGGCGGATGGGGTGGTTACTCACCGTTACTGACCGGTAAGTTACTTACAGGAACTGCTCCCCATTCTAACCGCCATGAAATCGGCCATTAGGTATAATCAGTTATCATCTCATCTAGAAGCAGAAACGGTTTTGGAGCACATTTATAGAACGAATTGATAAATGAAACTTATATTGGTTGAAACGTAGTTTTCGACAGTGGAAGTTATCAACTTGTGAATAGTATGGCAGAGGTTTGTGCTTAAGGCGTAAGAATCAGTATTATCGGACGTATATTAACTACATATAGATCCATTACCGAGGTCAAGATCAGTGCGGTTCTTGCGGTTCGATTGGCTATAGTCTCCATTACCGAGGTCAAGATCAGTGCAGTTCGATTGGCTATAGTTTTATACCACAAAATTTAGTCTCACGCGTTCGAGTTTCGATGGAGTCTGCTAACACCATGGCCAACTTTCAAGATTTGATGATAGCTGAAGTGTAACGCGAACGCAACAGAAAGAAACTGAGCAGCTATGGCCTATGAGCACTTTCGTTTGTCGATACCACGGAGAAGATCTGGTCGGTAGCATCGTCAAACCCCTATTCAATACATTTTTCTCATCTCATAAACCTCCTCTATTATCTCCCTATGGCGAAATAGGGAGGCGGTCGAGGACTAAAATTTTATATCTTGTAGACAGGAGTAATTCCTAGAAGGAAGAAGCATTTCCTCATCACCATTGCTGTTGCTTCACACAGCAACAACCTGCTTGTTTCCTCCGCCGACCCAATCACCTGTTCCGTCGAAAGAAGAAAAAAACGTTTTCAGGCTATTCTACTAGGAACAATCGCATTTGTTGAGCAGCGATATCGCTGAAGCCTAGTTTAGTGGAGCATTTTTTTTCACCTGACAGTTGGAGTAGAATTTGCTGAAGTTTTCAGATAAGTTGTAGAGGTATTCACAAAGGATGTTCGGCAGTAGGTTGGTACATGCCTCTTCCACAATCTGAATCAGAAGTCACGATTACATAAAACCATTCTCAAATTCGGTAATGATGGCACAGAAAGTAGATTAGTCCACTGAAAAGAAGTATCACTCCACCCCACATTACCTCAGAAAATCGAAGTAGATGAAGCCCCAGAACACGCTCATCCTGATGCTCCAACGACAAAACTCCAGTCTGTTTAACCAAACAGAAACATAAATATGAGTTCTTAAAGCTGTAAGTAGCCCCAAAATTTTTAAACGTATAACAGTTGGCTTAGTAACATCACAACCCGTTTCAAGTTCACAGCGCAAAATGGATTACTAGGGGAGGAGCCAACTGCTTACTTTCTTCAACTCCTCAACATCTTTGCCGGACTTTCTGATGATGGAACAGATCCTAGCATGTGCATAGAGCAAATAAACAGCCGTGTTTCCCTGCCCCACGACATTAGACAAGTAACAAAATTAGCATAAGCAATGACAAACAATTCAAATCAATATACATGACAATGTCTCCATTTGATCCTTGACTAGAAGCCTATGAGACACTCCGAAGAAGAGATGGTCCACACCTTATCACTAAGCATTTGGTCGAAATTGAAAGTATAATTAGTCAACCGATTGTTCTTCAAGTCCGCATACCTGCAACCACAAAATTCACAATTAGGTTATTGACAGCAATATTCACTAGAATCAATACAAGTCATGGCCAAACCAGAGGTAAGTCCTTATAACTCCAGATGTAATTCTGACAAAGAATTTCATCAGCTATAAATTGCCAGAACAAGTGATGGTAGCACATTGATTCTTACTTCACAGCGCCATAACCAACTGCTTCAGCAGTTTGGTCAATCTCCTCCTTTGTCCAATCTTTATCTTTTTCTGTTGAAAGCAAACAATCAAATTAAGCCAAGTAGTACGAATATGAACTCTGGCACTCAAACATGAGATATGCAAAATAGATATAAATAATGGTTCAAAATGTATATGCATGAGAAAAATTATATCCAAGTTATCATACCACGCTCTTCAAGCACTGCTTTACTTCGACTCTTGGCTTCATCCAGCAAATCAACTAACCGAACAACTTCTGTAGATCGAGTTCTGAATCGTTTGCCATCTTCTCCAAGAACAAGCCCAAAACCAACATGACTAGTTCTAGGATACTTATTTGCCTCAGTAGGGAGCCAACCCGCAATCTTAGCAGCCTAAATTGTAAATTGTTAATGTGAAGAAAGATCTCATAGATTTGAAACATCATTTTTTTTTCCTTTCTTCTTCCAAATGTGTCAAAGGAGAAAGTGTGGGAAAAAAAATGCATATCCACATAAAAGGAATTGAACTTACCTTGAATACCATCTCAAAGTGCTGCTGCTGACCCACATCAGTAACGTAGATAATCCATTCAGCTTTCTCTTCATTAAGGCGATACCTATATATACCAAGTAGTGGTGTCTATAAGGTTAAGCACGTCGACTAAGATATATACAATTTAGTACTAGAGAATTGAACTAACCAAAGTGCAGTCAGATCGGTCGAAGCATAGTTGTAACCACCATCGCTCTTAACAACAATAAGAGGAATATTGAATCCTTCGAGAAAAATTACACGGGCACCCTCACTTTCTTCAACCAACCCTTGATTGGTCAGACCCTCTATAACTGAAGGTATGAAGGGATTGTAGAAGCTTTCACCCTGCAGACAAAAAAGCACAAACAGCTTTTCAGTTTCTAAAATTAATGCTTTATGGACACAAAGATGTAGCATAGAACGAAGCATCAAAATGAGAAAGAATTCAATCCAAGACCTCAACCTTATGAGTTATCACTTGCGTGCACAACATAATCAAAACTTAGTTCCTTATGGGGAGAATCCTCCACGGCTACATAGAATCACTTGAGCTACTTAGTCCTCTAGACCTATTTCAGTAACAATCTTATCATGCGATATTGATATAAATCTCAACAGAATGACTGGACTGCAGATCCAAGGATTCAAGACAAACTGAATAAAGCTTAATGAGACAGGTAAACAAAGGTTATCGCTATATGACATATAGTCCAACATAGATTTTATACATACAAGAACAAAGAGGTGACAACTTCTCACCTGCCCTTAAAAGTGCTAGATAAAATTCTAGTAGAATAATTTTTCCCCACACAACACAACACAGAACCATTTATAGAAAGCCCCAAAAAAGAAAGTACCTTTTCCTCTAGCTCAACTTTGAGTCTTTTGTAGACACTGTCGAACTCCCTCCTACTGATTGCACAGATCTGAGCCCAAGCATCTCTGTACCTCTTTTCACCACCCTGCATTTGAAAGAATAACAAATCTAACAGATGTCCACATCTGTTCTGATACAAATTCATGATAGTACTTCACAAAAGAACAAGAATGCAAATAGCTCAAAGGGGAAAATTAACCTGGAGGCGAACAACTGCTTTCTGTGCCCGCTCTTTAAATTCAGAATCATCATCAAACCTCTGTTTTGATGCCTTATAGAATGCCTAAAATTATAAAAGAAATCAGATTCTATTAATTAACTCAGAAATTTAATTCCGTCTTGTTTTCTATTAATAACCTCTCCCTCTAATACAAAGAGACACAGTGCTGTTTAATATGAAATGGCCAGATGGAAATAAATCGATAACCAGGTTGCGGACAGTAAAAGCAAAGGAATAGAGTAGGGAAGCATGCCACAACACCTGTAGGTCTCCAATTGCTGTTTCATTAACTGCCTCAATGTTAGGAAACTTCTCGAAGAGGTGTTCTATCAACATGCCAAACTGCAAATAAAGAACACACAATTAGATAAATTCTTAACACGAGACAAGAAAGATGCACATGGAAGCCTAAATTTCAGGTGCTATAGATATAAAAAGATGGAAATTTTGCATAACAGCATAAAAATGGTTTCTCGAGTTATTTTGTGTAAGTAGAAATTATCTTTAAGAGACCAAGTAAAATCATCTCAAACGCAAAATGTAATAACTTGAAGAAAGCACATTGGGCAGACACAGTGATTGTGCCTAGTTATTGAAACCTAGATAACAGTTATCTATGACAAAGAGTAATGACAACTAGTCAGTGCCAGAAACAGAACAACAGATGAAACATATCATACTTTTTACATCCTTTCATGAATAACAAACAAATTATGCATGATCATATAAAAGCTGCAATGCGAGGAATCGAGCATGGAGTTAAGTTATCTTTGCAACGGGGGTAAACCTAAACCACATATCTCACACCACAAACTAACGGTAATTAATATACGAGTAAACTGAGGATACCTGGGTTCCCCAGTCACCAACATGGTTTCGCCTAAGAACATCAACGTGTGAGAACTCAAGCATGCGGGCAATTGTGTCTCCAATAATTGTAGATCGCAAGTGACCGACATGCATTTCTTTGGCAATATTTGGCGATGAAAAGTCAACCACTGCCCTCTTAATTGATAACTTAGGTGCCCAAGTATCAATCCCGTCGAGGAGCATTTTTAGGATGCTCTGCAACCACACCAAAATTTTCAGTAATGATACGTTACGAATTTAGCATAAACAGAAAGTACAAAATCAAGTCAGGTTAGGAAAGCACTAAACTCAAGTGCAGATATACCTTAGCCATCCACTTATTTGATAACACAACATTCACAAATCCAGGCCCAGCAACGAAGCATGATTCTATCATCTCTGTCTGAGGGAGATTTTTCATGATAGCCTGACCAAAGAAAGAAAATGTAAATACACTTATACACCTACAACAGAAGTTGTCCAAGCACTATCTCGCCAATAGAAGAGTAGACAAATAAGCTTGGCTCACACAATGAACGGTAACAAACAAAGAAACAGCTGATACCTGTCCAACTGCCGGGGGTCCCCTAAACTGACCACCTCCTTTTCCTTTAAGTTTAGAGAAAAGTCCCATTGCATTATTACTGAAAGAAAAGAAAGCCAAACCAGCTTAATATACTAAGCAACAGCGCCTGAAATCACGAATGAAGCACACACAAATTCAAGCTCAAACCTTACCACTGGTAGTCTCCAAATCTGCCCACCGTGCTTGCAGTAACTATGGGTTCCACATCGGTCTCGTCAGGGACCGTCGCTTGAAGCGACAATTCAAACACTCTCGCTAACAGTTTCTTCACATTACCAACATTCTCCTCATCCTGCAGAGCGCCATTCAAGTACACACCATAACTCCGCAAGGGCGGAAAAACAGTTCACACAGTTCCAGAGAAACGCATTGAAAAAAAGTCCATGTCGAAACGAACTTACATTGGCCATGGTGGAAATCGATTCCGTCCTAGCAGAAAATGCAAGCGTCCTTGAAGTCACTCTCGACAGGCCTGCCTAGTTTCGCAATCAACAATACAACGAAAATGAGCTTCCTCGAATTGCAACAGAAGCTCAACACTGAGCTTCCTCGAATTGCAACAGAAGCTCAACACAAACAGCTTCAACAAACTATTTCGAATTGATTGCAGTGAAAAAACAAGTGGATAACCAGACAGTGCAAGATGATAACGAGCAGAATGAAAAAGAAAGGGAACTAGAAGAAGAAGCGGTGCAAGAGACAGAAGAATGAGAGAGAATGATTTACGGGGGAGAGCTTCACGGCGGCGGGGAGAGGGGAAGCGCGGAGACGAGAGAGGCGACGGAAGGAGAGCAGTGAGGGCGAAGAGGCCGGCGGGAGGAGAAGAGCTAGGGAGGAGGAGCATAACATTGCGTTTTGGGCCTTCTTTATTTAATTTAATAATAATGAGGGAAAATGGGAAAACCCTCGCTGACTCGGTTCTTCACACACTCGGCTTTGGGCTTCTGAGTTTTGACTCCCCTACCGTTTTCTGTTTTACTAGGGTTGGTTTTAAAAGAGGATTGTGATGCAGGATTTTGTCCCAATATCTCACCATCTCGGATTTTGTCATAAAGTTATGTTTGAAAAAATGAGAGATTTCAAACACCTGTAATTGTGAGATTTAAAAATAGTTAACTTTCTAAACTATTTTGAAATCCATCACCATTATTTTTTTCTTTGAATATAATCCCTCTTAATTTTGATAAAATACAACCATTATCATCAACTCCTTTCATTGTCTTCTCCAACCCAACCAATTCCTTCATAAAATCAATGGCGGAGTCTAGCCATCAAAAAATCGATCGAACCCACAACCACCATAGTTATGTTGTCATTCTAGTATAACGGTCGACCTGCCACATAAACAAATAAGGCTCAATAGCCCTCGCTCGTTATAACCCACCACTTTGTTGGAGAAACATTCATCATCTTCGAAGGGATTTTTTTAAGAGACGAAGAGGTCATGTTCCATGAGGGGAAGGTGAGCGAACAAAAGGGATGAAAAGTTTGATTTTCTCTGTTTTTGGATTTACTCGGATTTTGCCGACATATTGATGGACTTGTTAGAAAGAAACAAGATTTTTTAGGGAGTTGAAGCTTTTGATCGAGTGATTGGTAGTGGGTGGTGGGATTTTTGTTGTTGCACTCTCATCTCTAGTTAGAACAACCCCACTCATTGAAAGCTAATCGACCTGGATTTCTGGCGAGGAAGGCAAATATGGGATGGTGTTGCGTAGCCAGAAGAAGGCACTCAAAGCAAGAGACACTCCTTTGGCTAGTACTTTACGGCGTCACCAGTTAGGTTTCAGGTCATTCTATTTCCAACCATAACCTAAACCATAAGAGAGGTTGAAGGAGATGATGAAGATGAGTGCAAACTTGATTTTTATCAATTTTGGCCCAAATACCATATCTGTAAACAAACAGGGTATTTTGTCCAAATCCCTTATACAAACTATCTGGATTTTTTACTTAGAGATTTGGGCTTACATCTCTCATAAGTTTCTCATCCAAATTACCCCATTAGGTTTTTAGGTGATGTTTCATTCTCTTCTCTTATTTTCTTGTTGAGGTAGAGATTAAGTGTATCCAAATTCATAATAGGTAAGAATGAAAATGGTGCGGATCTCTCGCCCCGTGGCAGGTTGGGTAATTTATCATGAGATGAGGGTCGGGGCAGGTCAACTAGGGGTGGGCATACAATTCGATAAAACCAAACCGAACCTAACCAAACTCAAATACAACCGAAACCAAATTATTGTTATTCGGTTAGAAATTCCGAATACAGGGTCTGCACACCCGAACCCGAATTCCGACAAACCGAAATACCTCAACCTTGTCCCTCATCGGCCATCCAGCTCCAATAACCTCCTTGGCGGCATCCAACAACATTCGTCGTCACTGGTCTGCCGCTACTCTGGAGAGGGTGAAGATTCGGAAAAGGTGAATATGATGGGTTCCTTAGCAGCCTTCAACAGATTTGTCGCTACTCGTCCAATATTCTCCTCTGATGGAGAATCTAGGGAGGGTGGATATTACGGAGAAGGCAAATCTGATGACTTCCTCCGCATCCAAATTAGATCTGAATCATCCCTCCTCGACTTCTCCTGCTCCTTCCAACGAAACCCAGCCTCCTCGAGTCCACTTGCTCCTCCCGACGAAACCTAGAGACACCACCTATTGTCTTTATGGACTGGTGCACTCCAACAGCGAGCAGGCGGGCAGTAGTGGCGACATCAATGTCAGCAAAGAAGAAAGAAGAAGAAAAGGGGATAGCTTGAGCCTTGAGGGAGGAAAGTGGAAACCTAGGGGTTCCACCTCTCCTATCTCTCGACATCACCAAATTGAGGCATCCTGGGCCGGCCAAAATGCAGCAAGCCAGGCCAACAGTGGCACTATCCAACATGTAAGTTTTGGTAAGAAATCAGAACCGAGTTATAATTCGATTCAGCCGCACTAAACCGAATTATAATTCGATTCGAATTTGATCAGCCACATGACAGGATTCAGAACTCCAGTAGTCCTCAACTCGATTCGGTTTGAACCAAACCGACCAAATGCCCACCCCTAAGATTGACACATATGGGTATGTAATTTAAAGAAATAACATTAAAAACATTAAATTTTTTCACTACAAATCAAAGAAATAAACTATTGCATGACAAATGTAGTTAAATTTTTTGAGAAATTTATATTCTCGCTTTTAAAACTTTTCTATAGCTAAAATGTGAGGTAATAAAAGTATAATCCTAATAAATTTCTGTAAAATTACATATAATTTAACCAAAAGGGTCGAGAATGGGACTGGTCAGAGCATGTAAGATCGTGAAGAGTATCCATGTTCGTCCTGCCTCTCCTACATATCAAACATATCAGATAAAATGAATCAGTTCAAAATTGGCATCTCTAAAAATATGGGTGAATGCATTGGATTTCATACCATTTAATTTTATATATTAGAATGTGAGGAATTCTCATTCAAACCTCTTTGTTTACTTGTGTTTACTTAGAAGTATTTATAATTGGAACTTTTAATTACTTAGCTAGATAGTAACGTAGCTCGCAGTGACAATTAATGTACTTATGGATCCTATGGAATACAATCTTGGTTGTCACGATACTATTGTGCTTGACTAGGGTATTTTTCTTACTAAAAATATTGCCTCAGTTTGGATAGTAGAGTAGTACGGACGATCTACCGGGGTCAATCGCTTTAGTCGACATAAGCATAACCAGCCCTAGCAGCTGAAAGGGTAATATGTGAGCCCGAAGATTTATTTTATGTTCGATCGAAGAGAAAGCTGATGCTCATCCAATCAGTCCAAGCATAGATAGATCCTAGTGCAAATGTCATATCCTTCTTTTGATGGTGAATGGCGGAAATGTTGTTGAAAGATGAATCCTCTGCGCACATCCAATTATTCATTCGCGACCTTATAAAGCTCCCTAAGCTTCGTTTCCCTCACCCCTTCCCTTATTACTTGGCTTCGTACCGGAAGCGAAGCTTAAAAGACGAGTCACTTCTCTCCTTCTCCACTCTCTCTGGCGGAGAAAGCTCGAAGCGCTTAAGATACTTGTCCTAGTTAAGTAGAGTTGGCTGTAGATCCAACCAAGCACACTTGCTAATTAATTGCTTGACTAGGGTGGACTTATTAACCTTGATGCTTAATGGAACCTAAACCACGAAACTAATATTGAAACACTATATGCATGTCTTGAATAGATCAACTTGAGAGATCCTTGAGAATACAACTCCAGGGAGCCTAATTTACTCGATATCTTTGATTATCATTTTAGGCATATCATATTTTAAGGACAAACCTAAAGTCATTAAATCTGTTAGCAGAGTGTGATAACACCTAAATTATACATATATTCGCCTACACTTTTACATCCTAAAATAACATAAATTGTACCAAGTTCATTCGATTTTCCGATTTTATGCTTGGTTTTGTGTTTGAGTCATGTCTCAGGGTATTCTATCCAATAAGAACGGAATAATGAGTCAATTCAACAAAAATATGGTTAGGGTCCGAAATCTGGCGTCAGTGGAACTCGAGCCCGCGACGTCCCAGGCGAGGGCAAAGAGTCGTACCACTCCGGCCGCGTCCCATTTTGTTATCAATATACGAGTCCCATCGTGTATTATGGTGATGAATCATGGAAAGAGAGCTAATTAACAATGCAGAGTCAAACTGCCTACTGCTAACATAAGGAAAAGCTTGTTCATTTTGGGATTCTCGTGGGAAGCTGGTAGCTCAAGCTGGTCTGGTCTGGTCCAAACAAAGAAGCAAGCTGGTCCAAACAAAGAAGCAAGCAACTCCATTATTTGGAAGCAAGCAGCTGCTAATTGCCTCGGCCATGATTGAAAGCAAGCAACTGGCCATTGAAAGCAAGCAGCTGGCGCAAATCAGATCGGTTAAGAGACAAGCAAGCTGGTCCATTTATTACAAGCAAGTAGCTGAAGCAAGTACTATAAATAGAGGGAGGGTTTGTATTGAAGAAGAGGAGAAGACACCCACACTATACACCCTACTTCTACACTTTGCTCTTCCTTTCTTGTATTTGAAGTTAGCCGAAACTCTGACCACTTTTCATTCCAAACTCTTGTTACTTCTTTTCATTTCGTTAATCATATCTCGTATTTCATCCATCGTGGTTCTCATGTTCGTGTTCGTATTTGGGAATACCGTGGTATATTGCGTTATTGAGATTACCGAAGTAAGCTTCTGTTCTGTGGGGTTTTGATAATCATTTGTGGTGGTAGATTGGTCGGTTTCCACCGTCTTCGCCCAACGATTATTCCCCCGTCAGATGTTTGCTAGGTGTAGTCTATTAACTCAATATACATATCGTATTCTCAACCCCTCCGTCTTTTTCGTCGTCATCATCATGGTAATGTTCTCAACCTTCATCTTTCTAAATCTCATCATGTCCGGCTAATCTTCTAGTTGTTCCGGATTTAATGAACCCTAATATGTTTTACATTGATTGAGTGGTATCTTTGATATAGACGTGTTGTTCTCATTCTTACGATCTTTTCTCGACTTATCATGTGCAAGTACCAATAGTACGCGTCTATTGTATAATTTGTCTGATACATGTAAATGAGACTGCGAGGTAATTTTGCATGTTAGATCCCTCGTGAAAAGAAGGAATTGATCGGAGCCACCGACGATGGGGTCACGTAGTTCCTCTGGATTAGCTTAAAAACCTAATACGAAAATTCATAAATCTGGTTATTGCTTTGGTTTAAGATTTTTGTAAGCCACGGTTTCACTTGATTCTTAAGTCGAAAGGGTGTTAATACATGTGCGAACGGGTTAACACTAAATTGGGAATTTTCACGGTCTAAGATATTAACACTCGTCTATGTTAAATTCAACTTGTCTGTAAAGTGCATATTAGGGTGATTCACTTCTGGGACAACACCTTCTCCACTTGATTTCACTTTGAAAACTACTTTATTGTGTTTTTATTATTGCGTGTGTTTTTATTTCTA